GCGCACGCGCAAGGGCGAGTGAGGCGAGCGCTGCGCAGCATGCCACAGTTTGAGAACAGAGAAGCCGGTGTGGACTGCTTGCCCCTGATGCCCACAGCCTGATGCCCCGGCACTCCACACACAAGGATCAAGGGACTAGGGTGGCCAGGGGGCAAGGCCAGAACCTCGAAAAAAAGAAAAGAAAATTCAGGCGCGACCAAAATCCGTCAAGAGGACGCACCCCCCCCGGCAAGCTGCATGGGGTCTGCAAGCGCCTTTCTGTCACTGGTGCTTCTCTCCCTCGGGCTCCTCCTGCTGCTGCGGAGCCACAACACCGCGGCGCCAGGTCTGCGGCGCAGCGGGACTGCTTCGACGGCGCTGGTCTTGGAGCGAGTAGCGGTAACGGACGTTCGGTCTGCGGTCACAACGGCGAAGCTCCGGCTGCAACGCGCTTCCGATGGGATGCATGGCGCACAGACGGCGCTCAGACATGCACGGCTGCAGCTGGGTGGAGGAGGAAACGGGCAGTCGGACCGGCTCTCGGTCTTCAACCGTGGCATGTGGCTCGACGCTGGTGGCAGTGGCGGCAGCGGTGGCGGTGGTGCCACCGGCGGCGGTGGGGATGGCGGCGGCGGCATCGGTGGTGGTGCGAGCCGGAGGTCGATCGCGCGGCGTGTGTTTTGCATCACCTTCTCCGACGGCCGCCGCGTGAGCAGCCTCTTCCTGAAGGTGCTCGCGGCGACGGTCTGGCGCTTCTCGGGCTCCCCGCTGCACGTCCTTGGCCTGTCGGGCGCCAGAGAGCCCGCCGTCGCTAATCGGTGGCGCATCGAGCGAGCCAACCTCACGGGCAGTGACCCAGGCAAGCTGAAGAAGCTCTTTTTCCTCGGCGCGCTGCTCGAGAAGGACCCGCCGCTGCCGGGCATGCGACCCACCGACCTGCTCCTGTTTATGGACGCGTTCGACGTGCTCGTGCAGCGGCCGCTGCAGCTGCTTCCCGCCGCCTGCGACCCTAGAAGCAGAAGACGCAGTCTTGTGTTCCGACTAGCGCTCGAGCGGGCACGTATTCCGCTGTCTTCCGCCGCATTCGGCTGTACTCACTGTCCTCGCACCCCTCGTACTCACGCGGTGCGCCGAAGACTCTGCACAACACCGTCTTCCCGCCCTGAGGTTGGCGTATTCAGCACGTAGGCCTACGACGCCCTCGCCGAGGCGCACGGTCTGCCCACGGGGGTCGACCCGTTTGTGCTGATGGGGGAGCAAAATTGCTGGCCGTGGCCGCACCCGCCGGGGTGGCCGGCGGAACGGCTTCCCAGGATGGCGCAGCGCGTGCTCCTCCCTCCGCCGCCGCCGCCGCCGCCGGGCGCCAAGCCGCAGCGGCACAGGCGAGGCATCGACATGGGGTACATGCGCGGGCGCTCCTTCTCCCTTCCAGACACGGGCGACGAAGAGTGGCGTCTCGGAGGCAGCGGAGACGGCAGCGGAGGCGGTGGTGGCGTAGGCGGCGGAGGTGGAGGCGGAGGCGATGGCGGTGGGGGCGCTGGAGGCGGCGGTGGCGGTGGCACAGAAGGCGGCGGATGGAGAGGCGGCGTCCGGCTGAGGCGGAGGTCTTCGCTCTTCGATGCATCTGATCTGTGCCCGGAGCTGCGAGTAGTTGAGAACTGTTGATGGTTCATCATCACTCAATGAATGATAGGCCTCTGATCTGTGCCCGGAGCTACGCCGACGCTCCAGGGCGGACGCGGCACGTAGCAGCGGGGGAGGAGGAGGCGGGGTCCTTGTGGGTGGAGCAGGCGGCGGAGGTGGTGACAGCGGCAGAGGCGGCGGTGATGGCGGCGGCGGCGGCGGCGGCGGTGGAGACGGAGGCGAAGGCGGCGGCGGCGGCGACCCTCAGCTCGCGCGGTGGCCGTTTCCAAACTCGGGCGTCTTCCTGGCTTCGCTGACGGCAGCGCGTGCGATGCTGGAGCAGGCGCGGCAGCACCCACGCGCACCGTTGCACTTTGAATGCCTTGGCGCTCCTCTTCTAGACGTCGCCTTTGCCCTTGGTATACCACGGTGTGTGTGTGGAGAACTCAAGCTGTGACCTGACCTCAGGCGCGGAAGCTTCTCCTCGACGGCCACTTCGAGGACCAAGGCATGCTCGGTCTCGCGTACCTCTCGCGCGCCGCGCCGGGAGGCCTCGCAGACGACGGTGTGTCGGCGATTGTCGACTCGAGCGCGCGCCTCTTCTCGTCGCAGGTATATCTCGGCCAATCTCGGCCAATCTCAGCTAATCTCGGCTAATCTCGGCTAATCTCGGCTAATCTCGGCTAATCTCGGCTAATCTCGGCTAATCTCGGGTAATCTCGGGTAATCTCGGCTAATCTCGTGGCAGTACGCCTACCGAGCCGACTGGTGGGCACGGCCGGCCTGTTTTGCGGACTATTTCGACGCGGCGGGAGAGCCTCCCGCGCAGCTCGCCACGCGCGCCGCCCCCTTCGCGATGCACTTCCAGGGCTCCTCTGGCCGCCACCGGCTGGGCTGGTGTGTCGCGACAGTCAGCCAATCTTACGCACGCCTTTGCACGGACGACGCGTCCACACGCACACAACACGTTGCGCACGATCCTGGCTCGGGGAGCCGACACTAGGCACACTGTCACCGGCCGTCTCAGTCCGGATTGCTGCACACGCAGGTGCGTCGCGACAATGCTCGCAAAGTGTGCCGAGGGCGGGGCCGAGCTAGGCCACTATGTCGACGTCGACGCGAGCCGCGAGGTGCCCATTGGGAAGCTCTGCGGCGGCGTGCTGGTCCCGCGTCCGAGGGGGGACACGGGCGTGCCACCGGGCGTCGCGGCGGCGCGGCCGGTTCCGTGCGGCGACATTGGCGGCGGCGGCGGAGCGTGGACCCAGATCAACTGCTCGCACGATACGTGCAGCACGGTCGCTGGGCAGTCGGCGTACTAAATCGACCACGGTGTTTGAAAACAACCACAATGGTATCCTGCCACCCCCCCGGGGGCCCCGCCCCCTCCACAGTTGACAGACCACGCACAACGCGCCGCTCTTTCGTGACAGTAACCTCTCTCTCGACTGTATATAATTCACGCATCCCGGCCGCTCGCGCATCATGGCCGCTCGGCCCTCCCTCGGCGGTGCCTGTCCCCCATAAAGCCGCGGAAGCCATTGCCCGCGCGCCGTCATTGCTCGGCCGTCTCAGATGACTTCTCCGATGGCTCGATACCCTCGCCCGTCACGCCCTCCGGGCCCGTCAAGCCCGTCAGCCTCCAGAACTCCGCCTCGACCTCCTTTCGCCTCTCCTCCCACGGCACGGCCGCCTCCGCGCCCTCCTCCTTGGCCTGCCCCTTTGCGCGCAGCTCCCTCGCTCGCAGCTCCTTTGCGCGCGCCTCGAGGTTCTTCTCGCGCCTGCTCACAGTCCCAAGCATGGAGACGCGCCGCCCAGAACCCGTGCGGCGTGCGGCCTGGCACTGGCCGGCTAGGATCGGCTAGCATCGGCCCATCTCTGGCCAAATCTCAGTAGATCGCGGCTAGTCCCGTGCTTTGACTCTCGATCCAGCATGTGGCTTACGCCCTGCTTCTCGTTCTGCTGCATTTGCGACAAGCCGTCGCACAGCTCGAGCATGTAGACCGAACCGTCCACCTGTAACCACCGCTCGCGTGAAGGAAGGCGCAACCCCACCGCGCGAAGGAGCCTTCGTAGGTCGGCCACCGAGCCAGCCGCCACCCACCGGCCGGCCTCTTGCATCTTGACGCGTGCGAGGCCGTCGCCGTCGACCTGCCGTACAACTCCATGTCTGAACAGGCGTCACCCACAGCACTGGCACAAACCCGAAGACACAAGTTCACTGGGGGAAGAGACTGTAAGACGACTAGGCGATGCGGAGGCTTGGCGGTGTGTGCAGCGTGCGGCTTAAGTCAAAGAATAATGCAGCCCTTCGCCTGCAGCGAGAGCGCCGGCTCGTTTTGCTTGTAAAAGTAGTCCCACACGTCGAGCGTGCCGTCCATCTTTGTGGTGGCGAAGACGCCTGTTGGTGGAGAGGCGTGATGAGACGCTGTGTTGCAGCTCTTCGATGATCAGGCCGTCGTGGCGTAGGCGCCAGGCCGCGTTGGCGACCACGTGGCGTCGAGGATGTAGTCCTTTGCGTAGCTGTTGACAGGCCGGAGGAGTGAGGGCTCGCACTTTAGAATAGATGGCAATGGGGCAGCTCTCAGAGCGCTTGGACGTCATGACGGGCGTCTTAATGTCCTCGTTCCACAGCCGCACCTGTTCACGCCGCTTTGTGTGGAGCACGGCTCACGGGGTGCTTCGCTTATTTCGTTCCGCACGGGGCGCCGTCCAATCACCCACCGTCATAAAGTACTTGGGGAAGAAAGGGTTGCGCGCCTGTTCTTAGCAATGACGAGTGAGCGAACGCCAGGTTGACCCGAGGTGAGAATGGACAGGGGATGGCTTCGTGCCAGCGCGTAAACCGGCCCGCAATGACCCTCGTAGATGGTGCCCACGCGATCGCTCGGGTTCTTAGCCTTGCGGTTGCACGCGACCACCTTGCCCTGCTCTGTGCCGACGAGGAACTGCGCGGCGGCACGCGCGATGGGTGACGTGCAGTCCATGTGTCGCGGGCGTGTGGTAATGAGGAGGAACGCTAGTGACGAACCCGGACGCAAGCGGGAGTGGAGAGGAGGGAAGGAGCCAAGTGGGCGTGCGCGCCACACCTTGCCTCCCGCGGTCGAGTACTCTAGGTGTGCGGCGGACTCGCCGTCTCCGTGCGCATGGCGAGCGCCATCTTCTCGCGTGGTAACTGGACCTTCACCGTTCACGGCAACCGGGTATACGATCGCGTGAGCGGGCCCACGCACCGCCTCGACGTTAGCATCCACGGAAGCGGCGACGCCGCTGCACGCTCGCTCCCACACGGTCTCGTCGGGCAGAGCTTCGCTTCACCGGCCAGCCGTAGCGGCCACTACAGCGCTCCTCCGGTCGCCCGCGTGAGCTCAATCGCGTCATGCGGCAAGGTATGAATAGGTCGCGTCGACGACTACCCACTCGCTGGCACGTTCACCACGTCGGCGATGGCGGAGGGAGCCATCGACGGAAAGGCGGAGCATTACCAGGCGTTGTCGCCCTGAATAGCTTGGGGCATGAGTGCTCTAATGAGTGCAATACCGTAGCCCATCATCTGGACCCACCGTGCGTCCGTTCTGCCAGGTGCCCTCGCGCTACGCGACTCAGTTCGCCTTCTCACGCTTTAACGCTCGGGCCGCCTCGGTACCCATCGGCCACAGCGGCATCCAAACGTCCTCCTCCCCCCCTGATCTTTCCGGCAACGCGCCCCACCCGAGCCGCCCAGCCACTGGCTTCCAGTCAGACCCGGCGCCCCTGGAGGCCGGGGCCTTCGAGGTAGCCACCGAGCTACCGAATGCTGACTGAGCACACCAGGTGCCGATTGCTGCGAGGCGCCATTGGAGTGAACGGCCTCAGATCCATGGCTGGCAGTGTGAATAGGCAGCAGATGCTGAAGGATCTCAAGGATTGCTGAGCGGGGACGCGAGGAGCGGCGGGGCCTAGGGGGGTTCGGAGGCGTGAGGAGTCTCCACAATGATGGGTACGCTAGTCTACCCAATTTCGCTATAGAATGACCCGACGCGCCTTAGAACTTATTTGGGTATCCCGCCTCTCACGCTGGATGGATTTTTCACAGCAGAAAAAGAAATCTTCCGTGGAAATCACGATGTCAGCCCTCCCCGAGTGGGTGATCTGGTGTTTGTAGGGCTTGAGAGTAAGTGGCCTGCCATGACGCCGCTTGGAGAGCCGGGCAGCTGCAGTGGTGGCGGGAGTTGCGCCGGCGCCCGCCGAGGCACCACCGAGAAGGTGGTCGCTGTAGTGAAGCGGCCGAGTGGCGAGAGCGGGGCCACCCCTCCCCTCAATGTGGCCTGGACGAGACAGCTTGGCCTCGGGGAGGCGTCGCCAGCGGTTGCGAACGGACGAGTCGGATCTCCCAGGCAGCTTGGCCGCGATGAGCCGCCACTTGAAGCCGTGCGTCCGAACCCCCTCGAGCACGAGCGCGTCCTCCTCCTCTGTCCACATCGTGCGGCCGAGTTCAACTTCGTCGGCGTCGTCGTCCTCTGTTTCGATGAAATGGAGGGCCTCGGCCGGCGGCACCCAGTCCTTTTCGACGCCACAGGAGAGGAGCAGCTCGTCCAGGGCTCGGCGGCCTCCCACTGAATCGCTCAGGCCGTGCCGCCGCTGCAGTCGATGCCAGCGGTTGCGCACGCCGTCAAGGGTGCGGCCAGGCAGCTGCGCTGCGATGCGAGACCACTGCGAGCCGTACTTGCGGTAGCTCGCCAAGATGATCAGGTCCTCGAAGGAGCGCCACTCTGCCTTGCGAAGCGGGGCAGACTCTTGGCGGCAACGTGGCTGCGAAGACGGCAATAGCGCTGCTGCACTGAGAGGCGGGGCGGCGGGCGCCGGTAGACTCGTCGTCGTCGTCTCGTCATCGGTCTCGCGCAGGTAGTCTCCCAGCCACCACTCGAACTCGGACTGCTCCAGCTCCATGAGGGGTGGAGTCTGGGGTGCGCGCTGGATGGCCGGCGCGGTGGAGCAGCGGCGCGGAGCCGGGGGTGCGATGTGCGGCCGTCGGTGGCGCGACACGCGGCCTCCGGCGGCGATTCGCCGCGGCTCCGGCGGTGCGATTTTTGTGCGTTTTCGAAGGCTGTGGGCGGGATAAGGCCGGCTAGACTGGCCCTGGTGTGCCCTAGTGTGTTACCTTACACCCCTGGCCCGGGAGCAGTAGCGCGGTGCGCGTCCCGAGGGCGTAGGGGCTCAAAAAACAATTGATTGTTTTTTCAACCACTTAGAGCACACAGTGATGGCGCCTGCGCGCGCTGGTCTGTGAGAGGGTAAGGTGCGAGGCCTGGAGGCCCTGGGGATGGGGGGGAGACTACCCGCAGCCCTAGAATTCACAGCTCCGCCGCTGTGAAGAGACGCCGCCGTGCGTGGCAGCGGCGACAAGGGAGAGCTTTCTATACTCTACTACACTGTACTAACCGACGAGCTGCCACAGCTGTGACAGCGATGGGCTCGCCCTCACTGGCCCTCAGTCACTTGTGCTGCGGCTTGTGTGAGCGACAGTGCTCCAGCTCGGCGGCTGCCGGCACACTGTGAGACCATGGGTGTGAGGTAAAACCACGCTACCAGCGCTTGGTCACATCAGCCCTGAGGTCAGATCCTTCTACTCTGTAAAACACTTGTCTACTCGCTGGACCTGGAGCCGAGCAGGAAGGAGGGCCTGGCGCACAAGCCACAACCCCTGTGCAACTCAGGGTCAGCTCCCTTTAAAACAAAGCCACACCTTTTCAAAGCCATTGCATATTAAACACTCAGGGGCGTCGGTTACCTCTAGACGGGGTCGCGGGCGCGACCGCTCCAGGTTCCACAGCGCCACTACGAGTGTGAAGCGCGAACGCTCCCTCCTGGAGTTTGTGCTGAGGAAGCAAGGACATCGCGAGAGGCGTCGGTGCACTGGCTGGAAGTGCAACCAGTGTGAAGCGCGAGCGCTCCGCGTCCTTCGCGTTGCTAGTCATCTAGGCGGAGAAGGCCTTGGCAATTTTACACGGTCTCCTCGAAGGCGGAGAAGGCCTTGGCAATGTTACGCTGTCTCCTCGAAGGCGGAGAAGGCCTTGGCAATGTTACGCTGTCTCCTCGAAGGCGGAGAAGGCCTTGGCAATGTTACACTGTCTCCTCGAAGGCGGAGAAGGCCTTGGCAATGTTACGCTGTCTCCTCGAAGGCGGAGAAGGCCTTGGCAATGTTACGCTGTCTCCTCGAAGGCGGAGAAGGCCTTGGCAATGTTAGACTGTCTCCTCAAAGGCGGAGAAGGCCTTGGCAATGTTACATGAGACGTCCTCCGCTCGCCGCGGGAGGCATCACGCGCGGACCGTGTCGCTAGAGAGCTGGAAGCCACCAGAGCGAGTCAGCAAAAGTCTCGCATTTTGACTGCTATGCATTCCTCGCCAGTGAAAGTGGCGTCGCACATGTTGGAGCACTGTCCCTCATCTGCCTCCGTGGTCTTGAGCCAGAACCCAATGTGAATCGCTGTGACGCCGCGGAGGTCGATACCCCAGTGTCCGACAGGAGAGCCATCGCCGGTGACGGAGAGCTCAAAGTTGGTGAAGAGCGAAGCCGAGTTGTAGGGCCCGCTGGGATCGTTGTCCACGAAATAGGAGTTCTGGTAGGTTTGCTCGAAGGCTGCGTTGGTGCAGTAGTAGAGCCGATCGGCCTCGAGCGTGCCCTGCGCTTTTTTGGTTGCCGTGAAGACTGGCAATTTTGTTTGGATATCGCACTCCCCGGTAGCCGAGTTCACATTCCAGTAGGTTGCCGAGTAGGTAACTGTGTTGTCAGCGTTGCTCTCGTACGCTTGGCCCGAAGGAGCTCCAGTGAAGTTGTAGTCATCAAACATGCAAGAGTCCGCTTGACAGCCGATCTTAAACAGCTCATCGTCCGACTTCCGGACTTGGTTCGTCATCTCACCAGTCGCCGTCAGACTCACGGTGAGCTGACCATTTCCTGAGTCTGCGCCCTCGAGATACGCGGCGATGCCGCGCACAAAGACCTCGTCTGTATCGCGGCTCAAGCTCTTCTGGCTCCTCATGTATTCAGTCGGAAACTGAATGAGGAGTTTGCCCCAGCCCTCGCTCTGCGGGTCCACGAATCTCTCAAATTGGGCGGCCGTGATGTAGGGATACGTGTATCCGTCCTCTTCGAGCCCAATCGAGTTGTACGTGGGCTCGACCCGGGGCGGCTCCGTACAGTTCAAGATCTCGCGTCGGCTCTCGCAGCACGTCTCGTCCTCAGCGAATCCCCCATCGAGAGTGGCGTTGAAGGCTTGGCATTCTACGCCCGAGGCAGGGAAGCACTTGAGCACAGCATCGTAATCGCACTCAGAGGCAAAGCACGGGCAATCCGATTCAACGCAGCTCGTCATGTTGGTGACGAACGATGGTGGCTCGAGCGGCGTGCAGGACGCGTTGAAGACCTCCACCTAAGGTAAGCCCGGGGGGGCGTTACAAGCTCATTTCAAAGATCCCTCATGTGAAGGTGTGGTGTGGTGTGGTGTCTGACCTTGAGTGCCACAAACGGGAAATCATAAGCCTCCTCTTCTTTGGCGTCCAGTTTCTCCCATAGCACTCGATCGACGTAGCAGTTGACAGCCTGCGAAAGGTTGTTGATCGTCTCGTACGGTGCCAAATACGTGTTGGCCTCCTCAATGAAGTCTGCCGCTTTGCCGCACGGATCCAGCTCCATCGGAGCCAACGAGGGGAATATCCCAGCCGAGAAGTTGTAGCAGAGCTCGTGAAGGGGATTCTTCGGAGTGGTGCTGCTCGCCACACAACGCTGAAAGAGTCCGGTGGTCTGGTAAGAGTAGCTCTGACAGAGTTGGAGGGCGATTGCCTGCATCTGGAGCCCCAGGCCTGTGACCAGGACAGCCTGCGTGCTCTGCTGAAGAGCGAAGTAGCCGTTCGGGACCTCTGCGTCGAACGCGGCTGCGATTGCATCGTTCGCCGTGCGGGAGATGTTGATCGTCTGAGCATCGATGAGGTACTGCTGCAAGCCTCCAACGTAGCGCATCCCTTGATTGACATAGTCATTCCCGTAGTCCTTCTGCGCGTCGATCAAATCGATGATGTGTTGGGCTGCGCCGTTGATGCTCGTGCTATACCCCGTCCTGTGCGCGGGAGAAAAGGGGACAGTGGTATACAAAGGTGCGGCTACATTAATTAGCCAATGTACATAATACGAGGCGCACAGGTACTCGTTGTATTCCTCCTTCATCGATGCGTAATACTCTGTCCAGAAGCCCCAGCCCATCGTCGGCAGCTCCTACGGCAGTGGCTGACGCGTTTCATGACGATGCTATGATGGGACCCTGCGGGGAATAGAGCGAGTTCTATGCCTCGTTGAGATTGTCGAGAGCCGCTTGGAGCGCGTCCATCTCATCGCCGTCTGGGATGTCGCAGTCCGCTGGGCTGTCGCAGCCGGTGCTCGGGAGTAGCACGTCGTTATCCGCGAGGACCTCCATCAAGTCATACGTCAATTCGACGGAGTCGTCCGAGGGAAACTTGTCGTTCGCATCGTCGTCGCTGTTGGCCGATACGAGTGCCGATGCTGCAAAGCCCATGGTCTTGGCATTGTTCGCGACCGTTTCCGTAAAGAAGCCGACAGCGGAGACGGAGTCGGCGCCTTTCTTCCACTCCGAGCTTCCGGCCGCCCCACCTGTCCCTGCTGTGTATTCCATCATATTTGCAAAGGTTCGCACGCCGCCCGTGCAAAGGTTCGCGACTCCAAATGCAAGGTTCCAGATGGCCTCCCGACGTTTTTGGGCGTAGTACTCGTCGAGGGCGTCCTGAAAGTCAAATCCGGCTTGAACAATGGTCGCATTCAGGCGCTTAGGTCTCCGAATGGAACTGGAACTTGATGTCCGCGACAAAGGTGCCCGGCTGGTCGGCGTAGTTTTCGGCGCTGACGTTCTGCAACTTGGGCGTAACGGAGAGGTCGGAGCAGATGCCGGCCGCGGCAACCAGCCACGACGCCGTGAGGTCGATAGCCGGTTCGATGTCAGGGACGGGAGCGAAGGCTAGCTGACGCGCCGTCGGCTGCATGTGCATGTGCATGTGCATGTGCATGTTTGTCATCAGAGGCGTTGGCGCCAGACGCCGCCGGAGGCTGCGCCGCGCCTGGTCGGAGAAGGTGTGCGACTCGACGAAGAGCTGGCAGAGGAAGCTTCCCTCCTTGCGCGCCACAAAGTTGTCCGACGCGCCCGAGACGAGGCCGGAGAAGTGCACGCACTCCTCGCCGCACGCCTCGCTGCCGGTCACCTTGAAGACGCTGATGGCCCACTCGTCCTGCGACCCGGCGGGCGGGTCGTCGCACAAGGAGGTCGGCTCGAGGAGCGCGATGTTCTTGTTGGTCCATGTGCCCGCGGCGAGCACGTCGGTCTGGCTGTACTCCTCGCCGCGGATCTCGATGCCGTCCTCCAGCGAGGCGGCCTGGTGGAACGGGGCGTCGGTGAAGGCGACCGACACCTCGGGGTGGAACTTGAAGTCGATGCTGCCGTCAGGCGCAGAGGAAACGTCGGAGCAGAAGCCCGATGCGGCGACGAGCCAGTCCGGATCGTCGACTGGGTTGGGCACCGGCGGCCGCGGCGCGAAAGTCGGGACGCGGCCGTCCGGCGCGTGGAAGAGGAGGTCAGGCCGGGCACCGGCGAAGCGGGCGAAGGCGAGGAGCCACCAGGCCCTCATGCCGATCGGTGCCGCCGCCTCGCGTCCACGGTGGTCCGCGAGCGCGAGCGTGGGCAGCACGGACAAGGCGATGCTCCCCCCAGGAGTTGTTCCCCTCGTCGTTGTCCACATCAAACGCGGGCACGTATTTCTTCAAACGCAGAAACCTCCAGGAAAACCGGGCGCGACACAATCAACGTGTGGGCTTCTTTTTATTTTTCGAAACAAGGCCACCACACGGGGGGGGCACGCAATCAAGGTGGGGGGGGGGGGGGGCACGA